CCTTGTTTGCCACAGCTAAGACAGCTGGTCGCAGTTGGTCGGGCATTAACAATAGCTCAATCATCACAGCAGTGACGACAACCAGGGACGAGATCAGTGGAATTTGGTGACTCGGCTATTTTTTCATCAATGGCCTAGCAACCACATACAGTTATGGTCCGACTCTTAGTTCGTCAATTCGTCGTTCAATAATCAGTAGGATTGAGTGGGAATTCGTAGATCATTGCGATTCACCTATCTACTTCAGCGATGAAAACGTGACTCAAAGGGTAAAGTAAGCAAGTAAGCTGTAATTTTGAAGGTAATTAAGCAACTGAACGGGTAAGTAAGCAGCTGATAAGAAACCAATACCCCTGAACCATCAAGCGTCACTAAACTTTAAGATTTACTAAAGGAACGAATTCGAAGACAGCGTTAACGAGTACTTATGGCCAACTGAGAATTTCTTCTCTAATATTTCAATTCTTATTCCCGACAGCTTACAGATTAAACTGCATAATCAACTAGGGAACTGATGGAATCCCAAATGAACCTGTTCGGTTTATAGGAAAAAATGAAGAGGGTCCCTGGGATCAGTTAAAGAAGATGTAAATCATCGACATGGTGCGTATTGTTTGTTATATTTTTTTCAACACACAATCCACTAGCACATTTATTTTGTCCTTTGGTGATACGTAATTTTCGTCACCAAAGTTTCAGCAACGACGAGGCTTCGAATAAAAGTATAGCACGTATTTTCAACACCATAGGGAATTTCACACTTATTGTGTGCAAAAAATTGCGGTCTCGGGTTCATCAATATGAATGAGATCAGGCCGGCTCGTGATCACAAACTCTAACACTTGGGTTCCTGCTCTTGCGGTCGAAGTAGGCTGCTTTGACACAGAACGAGAACGCTGAAGCAGGAACTGCGTGTGTGAATCACAAACGCATACGCGGGGCCGGACGTAAGTGTGACGTGATTATTTTCCGCTTGAAATGCATTCTCCACCGTTCCACTACTACTCAGTCCTCGAGACACTCCCCATGCCATTGATGTGGTATAGTTTCGAGAATGTATACAGACCTAAAAAGTTTATAACAGATGTCAGAATTTGAAGTTCTCCTTGATGAGGCTAATGATCATTGACAATCATCAACTGGCACACCATCTG